GGGGGGCAGGGTTTTGGGGTTTAGGGTTAAGGGTTTAGGGTTCAGGGTTTGGGGCTGGGGACCCTAAACCCTAAACCCTAAACCCTAAACTTAGGTACTTGACCTTAAGGAGCGCGCTGGGAGCGACTCATTACACTCAGAACCCTGAACCTCAAGCCCACACCCAGGGCAGCCCAAGTTTAGGGGTTTAGGGTTTAGGGTTTAGGGTTTAGGGTTTAGGGTTTAGGGTTTAGGGACTACACCCCATGTACATACCTACCCACGTTACAGCTATCCGAAGCCAGAAGAAACTCACGATTGGTTCCTTTGAAACTTTTCACCCTTACTTGGATGGTCGGGATACTTAGTAAGTAGGTGATACGTGGAAGTATAAGCACTCCAAGCGGGATCCTAATCGGTGTTATGATACTTGTAACTCGATTGATAAACACTTGCTTGCCTTGCACTTCCGTGTTGCTTCTCCAAGTAGCCTAAGTCTACATGCCTGCATCGTATATACGTTATCTAAGTGTAGACCTTGGCCCCGGCTGTTATTTGCAAGGAGGTTTCAGGCTACTTCGGGGTTTAGGGCTCATGGAGCTTTGAGTTTCGGGGTTGAGGGCTTAGGGCTAGGGGCTTTTAGGGTTTAGGGCTTAGCGTTTAGGGTTTAGGGGTTTAGGGGTTTAGGGTTAAGGGGCTTACGGCTGAACACCGAGTGCTCTCTGGGCCAGACAAGCCCCGGACGCACTTTGAAGTCAGCGTGCTGAGCACGTTGCCTGGCCCCACCTCACTTCGAAGTGTGGAATTCGGCTATGCGCAAGTTACTGACGTAGGAGTTGAGGGTTTAAACCAGGACTGAGGCCAAGGGTTTGGAGGGTGCATACAGGACCAGGGTATTATATACTTCGGACTAGGGACATGGGTCAGTAAATCGACAAGTCGAGGATGCTCAAAATCGGTGCCTGCAACTACTTACTTCCCAAATCCCCACGGGTTGAAAAGGTCAAGCTTCAGAATACGACTACAGTGACGACCTCATAAGAGCCACCCAAAAACTGAAAAGTGGGATTTGGACAGATACGGATTCAAGTACCCAAAGGCTCCACATAGACTACCATTATGGAATTAGGTCCCTAAAGCCATAGAAAGTATGGTCTTTTAGGACTTCATTCCATCATGGTAGGGTAGGATCCTGAGACATTCTAGACTCTAGACATCTTCCTGGAAGTGTTTCTTGTGACCTCCTCGCTTCCCGGCTTTGGATCACCACAAAGAAGAGGCCAAGAGTGCAAACCCCTAAACCCAAAACCCTAAACTAAAACCCTAAACCCTAAACCCTAAAACCCTAAACCTAAACCCTAAACTCTAAACCCTAGACCCTAAACCCTAAACTCGAGCGAGCAAGGCACCAGGCGGCTTGGGATTTCTGAAGGCTCAAGCTCTGCTGCTTTTTTTCTCGGTGTCGAGACCCTGTAAATCTAAAAACCCTCAGCACATGCACGCACTCACAAACAAATCAAGCAGATATTTAAAAAATGATAATAACCATCGTCATTCTTTCTTCCGGCGCAGTAGGGGGATTATCATCATGTAAAATAACACAAACAACATCAACAACGAAGAGAAGCCTGGAGAGACCACCTCGAAGTAAACTTCCAGCCAGACCCCAAACCGGGAATCGCTAGCTCAAACGCTTCTGTCGGGTCGATCGTACATGTGACGGCTGACTGTTTAGGGTTTAGGATTTAGGGTTTAGGTTCGGGTGGGGCGCGGTATGGGGTTTCTGAACATTAATGGTTCCCTGTCAGGGGTCTTGTAAAAAGGCTCCTGCTGTCCAGGCTCACTGGGTCCGCGTATGTTCACCCTGAACACTAAACCCTAAACCCTAAACCCTCAGCCAAAACCCTAAATCCTAAACCCTGAATCCTAAGCCTAAACCCTAAACTCTAAACCCTAAATCCTAAACCCTAAACTCTTGAAGTCCGAGGCTTCGAGGTGAAGGGCTTTCGAGTTTCGGCTTGAGGATCTCCTGCTTAGAGTTGAGGCCTGGGGGCTCTGCGGCCACCCGACTTGCCTTTAAACAAGGAGCCTTAATCATTAGAATAGGGCTCGGGGTTCCTTAAAAGGGGCTACTAGAAGGTCTACTGTAAGGGTTTAGGGTTTAGGAGTCTTAATAATTAGAATAGGGTTTTGGGGTAGGGCTCCTTTAAAAAAGGTCTCTGTGCGGGTCACTATAGAGGTTCTTTGATGTTGGAGCCTTAATAATTAGGATAGGGTTTTGAGGCCCAAAATACTATAAATGTAAGGAACCCCCCAAACTAGTATAGGTAATTATTTAGGCCCCTACATTACAGGGCTTGCAACAAACAGGGTTTGGGGTTAAGGGTGTAGGCGTAGGGTTTAGGGGAGGTTTAATATTTAGGGCTTTACGGTTTGTGGCTACGCTACTTGTTTAGTGTTTAGGATTACGGGTCTACATGCTTTGGGCTTAGGATTCAGGGTCTGAGCACTCAGGGTTTAGGACTAAGGGCTGTGACGTTTAGCGTTCAAGGTCTAAGTGTAGGGCTTTATTTGAGTCTCCGGACTCAGTCGGGGGGTGAGGGTTAAGGGTTTAGGGTTTTTTACGGGTTAGGGTTTAGGGTTTAGGGTTTAGGGTTTAGGGTTTGGGGTTTAGGGTTTAGGGTTTAGGGCTTAGGGTTTAGGGTTTAGGGTTTAGGGTTTCTGGCTTAGGGTTTTAAGGGGGCTCACATGGGTTGAAGCCTCGCAGTCTAGGGTTCAAGCCTCGAGAACAATGGCAGGCCGCCACTGCGACATGAGCCTCTCAGCGTTCTCCCGCCAGAGGACCTGAGATGTGCGAGGTTCAGAAACGAGGATTTTTTACGATGTATGACTTCGGGTGTAAACCCTAAACCCTAAACCCCTAAACCCTAAACCCTAAACCCCTAAACCCTAAACCCTAAACCCTTAGAGTTTCGCTTCTCAGAGTTGGAGTTTTGAGCCTATGGGCTTAAGGGGTGGACGAGACACTCGATCCATCTGCCGCCTTGCAGTCTGAGGTTCGATCATATCGACGCCCGAAGGCCTAAATAGGGTGAGGGTTTAGGGTTTAGGGTTTAGGGTTTAGGGTTTAGGGTTTAGGGTTTGGGGTTTGGGGTTGAGGGTTTAGGGTTTAGGGTTTCCTGGGGCGTTAGGCCAAAGGTCTTCGGGCATTAATCCACCGGAACATGGTGTCCAGATCCCCGGGTGGGTTTAGGGTTTCTTTTTTTTAAGTTGGGGTGACGGTCTCTTTGGTTTAGGGTTTGCGGTTTAGGGTCCCGGGCTTAGGGCCTAGACGGGAGCTCGAGAAGGAAAGTCCCATCCGGCTGATGAGCCATAGTGTTAAGTTAAGGTGTTTGGACTAACCCTTTAGACTAACCCTTAGTCCTGAAACCCGAAACCCCCACACGGCATTTAGTCGGGGCACCTTACTTGATGATGTCTGCATGTGCTCCGACACTCCGTGAGCCCAAACTGCAAGATCGAAACATACCGAGAGCCCCAAGCCGCTTATAGCTCGGAGTTCAACTTGATGCTCAGCGAACCCTCTTATGACATGGGGCTTACAGGCCTTCCTCCCCTCTCGAACGCCCACATGCGAACGACTACAGCTGCGTTGGGAACCCCATCGTAACTGAACGCAACTTGCGTTCAACCTCAAGCAACGATGCCCGCAGTCTGGGACCCATGCTGTTCCCCGCATATGTTTCGTCCAGTACTGGCCGTCCTTTCCATCCGAGCACGGCTTTTTCTAAGGCTTGAATCTCGAACTCCAAAGTCTGGGGCTAAAAGGTTTTTATGGTTTAGTGCTTTGGGGCTTAGGGCTTTAGGAGTTTGGTGTTTAGGCGTATAGGGTTTAGGGGTTTCGATGTGCGCATCGAAATCTATCTTGCAACCTAGACGCAGGACTCCAAACTGGGCAAGCTAACTAACAGAGGAACGACCAAGGAGCCGAGAAATTCTAACTGCCAGGAGAAATGAGCAACATCTGCAAAAAAACTGAAACCTAACTTTTAATTTAGGGTTTAGGGTTTAGGGTTTAGGGTTTAGGGTTTAGGGTGAAGAAAACGGAAAACTCCTCAGCTTCATGAGCTGGTTTCCTTACCATTGGACCCTGGCCATCCTTACACCTTACCGTAGACCGCGACCGTAATTTACGAAGCAAAACAGCATCAGGAACAACAAGGGACCCAAGCCTGCAAAGTAGGGAATATAGGGGCCATAATAATTAGAATAGGGTTTTGGGCCCATTAGTATAGGTAATTATTAAGGCCCCTACATTACAACTGCAAAGTAGGGAATATAGGTGCCTTAATAATTAGAATAGGGTGTTGGGCCCACTATACTATACTTATAATAAGGAACCCCCAAACTAGTATAGGTAATTATAAAGGCCCCTACATTAAGCCTGCAAAGTAGGTAGGCCCTTAAACCCTGAAGCCCTAAACATCCTAACTCTTCCAGAACCCTTCTACGCCCCTTACAGGAGCCTTGTAGAATTCATGACCCTCCTACAAAAAGCCACAACATCCCAACGCCCAAGCAGAAATCCCACAAAAGCCCGTGGAAGCCTAAACCCTAAACCCAAAACCCTAAACCCCTGGGGCCAGTCCTTCATGTGAGCTTGGTGGAGCCACTGCCCAGTGAGATTCGAGGCCTTCGGCCGGGGACCGAATGAGGGCTCTAGAAGGGTTGGTTTTTTACAGCTTTACGAGTTAGGCAGTGTGATGGGGTTTTACGGCTTCGGGGGGCCAGAGGTTAAGGGCCCGAGAGGCTGCTACGGTGTTGCATAGGCTTTCAGGGGTTTCAGGAATGTGGAGTTGGACCTGCACGTGGGGGCTTGAATTTGAGCTTCGGGACGTATGTCAAAAATTCCGAGAGACCTTGAAGCCAAAAGCCCCTAAACCAAAAACCCCGTAAGCCCCTCAACGCCCTAAACACCCCAAACTCTTATAAATACCTTCGTCGAACCTTCAGAGAACCCCGAAAAGACACCTAGAGACACCCCAAACCCTAAAACCCTAAACCCTAAAACCCTAAACCCGAAACCCTAAAACCCAAAAACCTGAAAACCCTACAATCAGCTCGGCTTCGGCTTTGATCCAAACTTCCCGGGCCCCGCGCCACCGGAAGTGTCTCAACACCCTGCCTCGGCTGGCACAGATCCAGGGCTTAGGGCTTAGGGATGTTTAGGGTTTAGGGTTTAGGGTTTGTTAGGGTTTAGGGTTTAGGGGATGTTTAGGGTTTAGGGTTTAGGGGATGTTTAGGATTTGGGGTTTATGGGATGTTCAGGGTTTAGGGTTTAGGGGATGTTTAGGGTTTCGGGTTTAGGGATGTTTAGGGTTTCGGGTTTAGGGATGTTTAAGGTTTCGGGTTTAGGGATGTGTCGGGTTTAGGGTTTGGGGTCTAGGGATGTTTAGGGTTTTGGGCTCCAGGCTTCAAGGCTTTTACGGTCGTTTAGGGTGACAAAAATGGTGTGGGGGTTCGGGGTTTAGGGTTCCGGGTTTGGGTGCTGGTTGCTTTCCTTTGGGGCTTCGTTTTTTGGCTTAGGAGTCATGTGTTTCGGCCTCAGTGCTTCATGTAAGGGCCTCAATACTTAGAAGAGGGTTTTGGGAGGTTCCTTCTTACAGTTATAATTAGTATAATTAATATACCCCCAAACCCTATTCTAATTTTTCGGGCCCCGATACCCCAAACCCTGAAAGTATTCTATAAGGAACCCTTTGAAGTCTAATTATTAAGGCCCCTACAGTACTAAGGGTGTAAGGTTTCAAGGTTTAGGGTTTTGGGGTTTCGGGCTTTAGGGTTTAAGACTTTAGGGTTTAGGGCCTAGGGTTTCGGGGTTTTGGGGTTTAGGGTCTCGACTTTCATGCTCGTGTTCTCGGTTCCGGAAGGTCGCAGCCCTGAGTTATAGGTTCTGTTTGGCAGGGGCATGGGGGCATGGGCAGTTGGGGTTCAGGATGCAACCAGTGCTAAACCCCAAACAATACTCTCCCACTCGTGTTGACCAAACTCTCGTGGGTTTGGGATGATTCCGCCATCCTCATTGCGTAAATGCTGCAGCCTGCCCTAAGACAGACCTTTCCAGGTACCTAAACCCAAAGCCCTTAAACCCTCAAGTGCGCAGGATTCAGGATTTTCCGGCCCCGCTTAGACTGACACCTGAACCCTCACATTCGCAAGCCTGAGACTTAAACCCCAAACCCTGAACGGTTTAGGGTTTAGGGTCTGGGGGAAAACATTCAACCGGAAGCACATGAATCCCAGCGACATGTCGGGCTTGAAGGCTTTAAGAATCTGGGACCTCCCCAGCGGCCTCGAAATCGGCAGTTTCGATAAGCCTGGCTTTTTCCAGTTCATGCTTCAGCTTCTCAAGAGGCTGTGTGTCCACATCCTGCCTGCTCAGCTTGCCGGTGTCCACGAGGAGCCTTGACCCACGGCACCCGCTGCCGCTGCAGGGCAGGGTGGTGTCGTCTTGGCTGCAACAACAGGCCGATGCAAGGAGGGTGGAACTTCCGGCCCAGCGACATGCTGCGCGCGCGCCGGATAACGGGACCCTCTGCTCAGACATGCGAACGGCGGTACAGTGAAGGTTCATGGATGTGTTTGGGTTTACCTCTCGTGTCCATAGTTCTGTAACCAATCAAACTAGGACTCTATACATTAACCCCCTAAACCCTAAACACAAAAAGAACTACAATGGAGACTATAGGTAGAGTTGAGGGTTTCAAGTTTAATGCAGAACGGAATCCCACGTCCGAGGCCCCGTCAACTCTGAACCCCAAAACCCTTAGGCCTTGCTTCAGGGTTTATCAGGGGTTATCAGGGTATAAGGTTTAGGGTTTAGGGCTTAGGGTTCAGGGTTTAAGGGCTTAGGGTTTAGGCTTTGGTGTGGGCCAATAGGCTCTCCGGGTTGCGGGCAGACGGCCTCTGGCGCTAGGAGTTTTCCATAGGGACCCTGACACTGCACCCTAGAAAGCCCAACACCGCAAACCCTGAACCCGAAGCCCTGAACCCTAAACCCTAAAATCCCAAAGCCCCAAACCCTAAACCCTAAACCCTAAACCCTAAACCCTAAACCCTAAAATCCCAAAGCCCCAAACCCTAAACCCAAAGCCCTACTAAAGCCAAAAACCCTAAACCTGAAACCACAAAACCCTGAACCCTGAACTTCAGACTGCCAATGCTCGGCAACCTCCAGGCTGGATCCTCGCTCCGGGCTGTGATTTGGCTGTGGTTTAGGGTTTAGGGTTTAGGGTTTAGGGTTTAGGGTTTAGGGTTTAGGGTTTAGGGTTTAGGGTTTAGCACAGCCGAATCACAGCCAAATCACAGCGAAATCACAGCCGAATCACAGGCACATTTTCAAATCACAGAAATATCACTTCAAATCACAGGGAAATCACAGCAAAACCACAGATATGAACCACAGAAAGGTCACAGCATACTATTATTTCCATGTGTCCTAGAGGTTGCCGGAGCAGGCAGTCTCAACCATAAACCCTAAACCCTTAGCCCTCGATTAGATCCTAAAACCCAAACTCTATGGACTTTAGGAGGGACCCCTAATAGGGACCCTTAATCCCATGACCTTAGATAACCATTGTATACTCGTTCTATACCCCTTATATAGCCAGGTAGTCTCCATATTCACCCCCATGACCGACAAGGGTCCCTATTCTTGGTCCCTCCTAGCTTTAGGGTTTAGGGTTTAGGGAAGCCCTTAGACAAGCCCTAAACCGACCGGGGCTTGGACATCTCTTCTGTCATTCCGAGGTTGCGAAGCGTGTCTGCGGCCTGCACATGCTGGTGGTCTCTCGGCACTTCTCGGCTTGGGGTTTAGGGTTAAGGAACCTTAAACCCTAAACCCTAGACCATAAACCCTAAACCCTCAACCCTTAGGGCCCAAAGTATCTTTGAGAGTGAGCACGAATTTGGGCGAAATCTACGACTATGATGTACTCGGAATTTTAGGGGTCGCAGTTCAGGTTTTAGGGTTTTTTGGTCTAGGGGTTGGGGTTTGGGGCTTAAGGGGACTTTGGGGTTGTGGGGTCTGGGGGGGGTTCAGGGGTTTTGGGGTTTTGGGGGTCCAGGGGTCCAGGGGTTTTGGGGTACCCTATACCCCTACCAAACAAGTACTCAAAGCCCTATGCAACCCAATCAAACCCTCATTATCGTCCCGTTATAGAGGCCCTTACAGATGCCTTGAAGGAACCCCAAATATGGGACCCTAAACCCTAAACCCTTTAGTTGAGGAGATTTAGGGGGGGGCAATGTGAAGTGCCCCAGGATGATTGCTCTCGGGCTGAGACTTCGACATTGAAGCTGCGGGTTATAAAAGTTTCTAAGGGCTTTAGGGGTTTAGGGTTTAGTGTTTAGGTTGTTTAGGGTTTAGGGTTTAGGGTTTAGGGCTTCATAAAGTCTCGCTATGCAGTTCAGAGCTTGCGGGCTTCGAGCTTAGGTAGGGTCTCAGATGCAAAACTCTCGGGCAGTCAAGCCCACAACATGGATAGGAGTTAGGATTAGGGGAACCCTGGGGGGATATGGACCCTCTCAATAAGGTGCCTTTTAAGAGAGCTATAAGTGGAGTTAAGATGGGTCCCCTTTAAGGGGTCTCCCGAACACTGCCTAGGAGTTTCCGGCTGTAGAGTTCAGGCTGTGGGATTCTGCCAAAAAACGGAGCCAAGCTGACACCCAGCCCTTGGTAATGTAGGGGCCTTAATAATGAATAATTAGAATAGGGTTTTGGGGCGGAACCCCCAAAATCCTAAACCCTAAACCCTAAACCCTTTATACTCTTTGTGCAATAAGGAACCCCCCAAAATAGTGTAGGTAAGTATTTAGGCCCCTATATTATGCCGCAGCCGTGGCTCGACACATGACTCGCATGAGCCACTTATGTCTCTCATCGAAAAAGAAGGGCAAAGAATTGAGACGGGACAGGTGGATAGCAAGGGCCAGCTAGCTTTGCAGGCAATGCCAAACCCTAAACCCTAAACCCTAAACCGAGGAGGAGCTGCATAAGCTGCGGAGTAGAGGCAGAAATGTCGAGGATGCCTTGCCGGTGCGCACCATGCTTCCCGTTTCTGTCTCCACCACGCTTCCCCCTAAGGTTAGAAGTATGGGCCCCTGACATGGGCCCTTAAGGGGGTTCTAGGGTCCCTTGAGGGTA